TTAGAGAGAAGGAGAGAGAGAGAGAGAAACATGGATGTGAGAGAGAAACATCAATCAGCTGCCTTTCTTATACACCCTATCAGGAATCAGGCCAGTGACCTTGTGGTGCACAGGAAGATGGTCAATCAACTGAGCCACATGAGCCAGAGCTTCAGTTACCATAGTTTAGTTAAATGACATCAGTCCCCCAACAGCACAATTCCAGTTTAATCATCGTGGATTAATTATAAGTAACTGCACAAAGTACAAACTTTGCTGCTATTTCTTCAATCCACAAATCATTATGTAGATAACAGAGGCACATCATGATCAGTCATCAATCACTTCTTTCATAGTCGGTCAGTGATTGATAACTATATGTCTGTTATTCAATTCTTGCATAGACAATAAAGTATATGGAGTGTTGCCTCTTTTTCTACCAGCAATAAAACACCCTGTGACATTTTACAGAAATGAATAATCAAAAAATAAAGTTCAAATGGAGCAAAGGAACAAAAAAGTGATAAGGCTGGAAGTGAAACTTTAATTGAACCTAAATGGAATTAGAGAAGAAATAATTGAGCATGGGAATATTGACACTCCTTTCATTCGAAAGACTCTAGATGTGCAGCCAGAGGAACTTAGTGGAGGCAAACTTATTGGTGTAAATGAGGACAGTGGTTGTGACCAAAAGAATGAAGATGTCTTAGAGAAAGTAACTTCAGCAGAATACTTCATGATAAAACTTTTGGAGATACTTCACAATGTTGAAAGTGCAAAGAATAGCCCTGACTGGTTTGGCTCAGCGGATAGAGCATCGGCCTGTGGACTCAAGGGTCCCGGGTTCGATTCCAGTCAAGGGCATGTACCTTGGTTGCGGGCACATCCCCAGTAGGGGGCGTGCAAGAGGCAGCTGATCGATGTTTCTCTCTCATCGATGTTTCTAACTCTCTATCCCCCTCCCCTCCTCTCTAAAAAATCAATAAAATATGTTTTTAAAAAAAGTGCAAAGAATAAAATGTTGAAAGCTGATTCAAAATTAAAAGAAATAAGACCATGTTCCAAGCATAGAAAATATGGTCGTTCATATTATAAGCTACACAATAAGACAAGTGCTGTTCACATTACTCTTGATAATTTTTTACAAAGAAATACACTTTAATTCTCAATGTTTCAAATATTTTAAATTATAGTATGCTATATGCCACAAAATGGGAATAGTCTTTTCAATAAATAGTACTGGGGGGGAAATAAATCCTATATAATAAAAGCCTAATAAGTGTCAGTCATCCATTCAACCAATCAAAGTGTAATAAGCTAATGATATGCTAAGGCTGCTCAGCCACTCACTATGATGTGCACTGACCACCAGGGGGCAGACACTCCAACTGGTAGATTAGCTTGCTGCTGGGGTCCAGCTGTTTGGGACTGAGTGAAGTCTAGAGCCTCCCGCGGTCCCTCCCCAGCTGGCCAACCTCCAGCGTCTCTCCCCAGCCCTGTTCGTGCACCGGGGAGTCCCTCGGCCTGGCCTGCACCCTCTTGCAATCTGTGACCTCTGGGGGTTTGTTGGAGAGCTGGTTTGGGCCTAACCTCTCGTGGCCCCTCCCCCCAGCCAACCTCCCGCTGCCTGATTGCCCCTGATCACCAGCCAGGCCGAGGGACCCCACCCGTGCACAAATTCGTGCACCATGTCTCTAGTAAATAAATAAATAGTGCTGGGACAACTTGATATCTACATGCAAAAGAATGAAGTTGAACCTTACCTCACACCATATATAAAAGTGAACTCAAAATTATCAAAGACCTATATGTAAAAGCTATAAAACTCTTAGAAGGAAACATATATGTAAACCTTTGTGACCTTAGATAACACGGCAATTTCTTAAATATGACACCAAAAGTACAAGCAAATAAAGAAAAAAGTAGAAAAATTGGATTAAGTCAAAATTTTAAACTTTTGTGAAATTGGCCATAGTGGGAATATTTATACCACAGAAATTGGCAAATGCTACATACCAGGGCTTGTTTTGTTAATTGTTTAGACTTAAGAAAATGATAGAGCAAATGTTAATGCAGATTAAACTTAAAATTATGTGGTATCTAGCCTGGCCAGCATGGCTCAGTGAGTAGAGCATTGGCCTGCGGAGTGAAGGGTCCTGGGTTCGATTCCGGCCAAGGACATATGCCTGGGTTGTGGTCTTGATCTCCAGTATGAGGCGTGCGGAGGCAGCCAATCAATGATTCTTTCTCATCATTGATGTTTCTATCTCTCTCTCCCTTCCTCTCTGAAATCAATAAAAATATTTTTAAAAATTATGTTGTATCTATAGCTATTACATTGTGAAAAACACAGCACAAATTGAGGAAATATTCTTCTAGCATTTGAAAACTATTATGTGATTCAGCAAATAAGTCACTCATCTTATTGACAAATAAGTGAGGTTACAATATATGTCTTTTGATTTATTTTGTTTGTTTTGCTTTCATTTAACCCATTAACATAAACTAAAATACTAACCAATATTCATGTCAGACCTATGCTCAGAGAGCTGGTAATTAAAACATTTACCAGCACACCACTGGCTGGAAGGGATATCAATGATCCTTGTGACAAGTCCAAGGACCCAGACAAATGAATGGATGGATGGTCAATATTTGAATCACGTGCTATTCTTTAACATTTTTAACACCACTTCCCTGGCTACTCAGGAATATGAGTTTTCCATGACATGTTCGAGTGAGGACGGGCAGTCAAGATGTATAAAACAGTTGTCATCAGTTTAATAAAAAGCTCTTCTTTCCAGGGTTCTAATAATGCTGTGTACCTACCCTGGGGAATGGAGGAGCCAGAAGAATCAGGACACAAGATCTGTCAGATTCCTCTCTCCTATCTGGGCAGACAGCAATAGAGCAGGCAAACAAGCCAGGTCTTATATTTGGACTTTTTTCTCTCCTCTCCTTACACCCTGAGGCATTGAAGAGATTGGGGAGATATTCAGGTTTTTCTCTTGAGTAAGGCGTAAACAGAGGCCTCACCTGATGGGAGAGGATCAGGTTAGAAATTGGCATACTGACCAAATCTCTCTTGTTGACCTCAATTACTTGGAACACTACTTCAATATTATTTTATTTACCCAGAGTCTCCTTGGGAGATGAGCCACAGATTATTCTATATAATAAAAGGCTAATATGTAAATAGACCGAAGGGCGGAACAACTGAACAACCAAACAACCAGTCGCTATGATGTACACTGACCACCAGGAGGCATGTGTGGAACATGGCGGGTGTTGGCCGTGGCAGGATAGTGGAGCAGGTTAGCGGGGGCGCCAGAGCAAGGCAGGGCACCAGTCGCTGTCATAGGAGTGAGCCTCTGGTGGTTACTGAAATTCTTTGCTCCCTTGCACCGTGATCCCTCCCAGTGCTCACATCCGCAGTCAGCGCCGAAGCCGCCACACGCACCCACTGCCGGTGCCTGGTGACAGTACCGATCACTTGGTGCCATTAGTGTGTGTGAGTGGCCGCTGGCCCTGATCGTCCCTGAGGACTTCTCCACCTCCCCCTGCTCCTGAGGGGCAATCAGAGCAGCAGCCACCGCTTGTACCCGCTGTTGGTTCCGGCCCCAATTGCTCCATGCCATCAGTGGATGCAAGCAGGGCCGGCGCCGTCAGCATGTGGGAGCCATGGTGGTGGGAGCAGGGCTGCTGGCAGACAAGGGACAGGGGGCCGTGGCGGGAGGGGCCAGGCGTGGGCAGGGAAGATGGGCCAAGACCCACCCCTGTGCTCATGGCAGCCTCGTGGCCCACAGTTCCTTTCAAGGTGCATGAATTTGTGCACTGGGACCCTAGTTAATAATAATAGACATTTACATATAGCCCTTTATAATTTACTAGAGGCCCAGTGCACAAAAATTTGTGCACTCGGGGGAGGGGAGAACGGGGGGGTCCCTCAGCCTGGCCTGTGCCCTCTCGCAGTCTGGAACCCCTTGGGAGATAATGACCTGCTGGCTTAGGACTGCTCCCGGGTGGCAGAGGGCAGGCCCAATCCCTAGGTGCAGCCCCTGGACGGGCTCAGAGCAGGGCCGATTGGGGAGTTGGGGCGCCACCCCGTCATGCACAGAGCAGGGCGGATGGGGAGGGTGCAATGCCACCCTCAGTCATGCTCAGGGTAGGGCCGATTGGGCGGTTGGGGCACCGCCCCCTGTCACCCACAGAACAGGGCCCATCAGGGGGTTGGGGCAATGCCCTCTATCACCCACAGAGCAGGGTCGAACAGGAGGTTGGGGCGCCTTCCCCTGTCAGGAACAGAGCAGGGCGGATAGGGAGGTTGTGGCCCCGCCCCCTGTCACACACAGAGCCGCAGGGTGAGCAGGGGGTTTGGGTGCTGCCCCCTGTCACACTGATCTTGGTGCTGGGAGGCCTCGCGGCTCCACTGATCCCGGGGCTGGGAGGCATATTACCCTTTTACTATATAGGATAGAGGCCTGGTGCATGGGTGGGGCTGGCTGGTTTTCTCTGAAGGGTGTGCTGGATCAGGGTGGGGGTCCCCACTGGGGTGCCTGGCCAGTCTGGGTGAGGGGCTGAGGGCTGAAGCTCCCACCTGCTCCTTTTTTTCTTTTTCTTTTTATTCTGGGCCAGCTTTATCTCTGGCTCCAGCTCTGAGGCTTCTGCTGCTGAAAGCAGGTATCTGGTTTGTTTGGGTTCTATAATCGAAACAATGTATAACTCCAGCTCTGAGATCCTGCTCACTGAAAGCAGGTTTCTGGGGTTTTGTTTAGCTTCTATATTTGTTACAATGTTTCAAACTGCAGGCTCAGAGGCCGGCAAGGCAGGCGGGGAAAGTTGGGTTCCTCTGTCACTGAAGCAAGCAAGCCTCATGTTAGTTTCAAGCTGCCTGGCTGCCGGCCGCCATCTTGGCTGGCAGGTAATTTGCATATCGCCCTGATTAGCCAATGGGAAGGGTAGCAGTCATATGCTAATTACCATGTTTCTCTTTTATTAGATAGGAAGGATAAGGCCTTTGTGAATGTACCATCTTGTTTGAGTCCCATAATAGCCCCATATGATGAGCAGAGTAGGGGTTAGTAAACCTATTTTATAGATGATGAAATAAGGCTCAGAGAGACAGGGTGCCCAAGTTCATGGAGCCAATTTCAGGTCTGGAACCCAGGTATGATGTCACAAATTTTAGTTGTCTCCCATGGCACAAAAGCATTATAGCCCAGGCCTGGAAATATTCAGAGAATTATTAGTAGTGATAGTTATTAATAAAAAAAATAGCTACCATTTATGAGCACTCAGTGTATCTCACTGCACTAAGTGCTTCATATGCCTTCTCATTTAATCTTCATAACACTCTTTTGAAGTTGATGCTAACTTCTCCATTTACTTTGGGAGAACCCAAGGTTCAGAAAGTTAAAAGAATCTGTCCTGGATCACACAGCAGGTTCCAGAGCAAAGATCTGAACCCAGATTTCAGTTTTCCAAGATCATACTTGTAAACGTTTAAGATAAATGAATGGCCCCTGTCACATGAAACAATCTTTTTGTTAACTGTGGAATATTTCCTGTGTCTGGTACAAGTATAATAAGTAAAGAAAGGAGAAAGAGAGGAAAGGAAACTAATTAGATCATTTTACATTGGGATATTCTGTACGAGATGAAGTCCATGTCGGGAAGTGTGCTTTTGCGTAGAGGAAGGGGATTAAATCTCACTTCTGCTCCCACATAACAACCTCTTAAATCCCCGGATATAGCCTGCTTCTGAGAAAACTGGAGAGGGGCAGAGTTGACCCTGAGATTAGGCTCTTGTTCCTCCCTCTGTACCCCCTTTCTCCTCTAGGTGCTCCCTTTTCTCTTAAAAGCATGCTTTTGGGAAAGGATCTGCTATCAGTCACTTTTACTTTGGCTTGGATTAAAGAGAAGTACGTCCCAATAAGGCTGGGGCCCTAAATTCTGCCTCTCACTGCTGTGTGGCCCTTGGGCAAATCACTGCTCCTCTCTGGGCCTGTTTCCTTATTCCATGAAATACTAGACATAATTTCTGAGGAACCTGCTAGTTCTGATCTTATGGGATCATAACATCATGATGTTATGAAATTTTATGGATCAGAACTTACTAGTCCCCACAATTCCAGGTCCCTGGCACAGAGTAGATCCACCAGAACTGTTTTTAAAAATTAAATCTTTATTGTTGAAATTATTACATATGTTCCCCTTTTCCCCCATTTACCCTTTCTAGCCTACCCCCACCCCCCACCCCAGGCCTTAACCACCCTGTTGTCTGTGTCCATGGGTTATGCAAATATGCATAAAAGTTCTTTAGTTAATCTCTTCCTAACCGCCCACTCACCCCTGCCTTCCCTTTGAGATTCCGCAGTCTGTTCTATCCTTCTATGTCTCTGGATCTATTTTGTTCATCAGTTTATTTTGTTCATTAGATTCCATATTTGAGTGAGATCATGTAATACTTGTCTTTCTCTGACTGGCTTATTCCACTTAGCATAATACTCTCCAGGTCCCTCCATGCTGTCTCAAAGGGTAAGAAATTCTTCTTCTTTACTGCTGCATAGTGTAAATTCCATGGTGTAAATGTACCACAGCTTTTTTTTATCCACTCTTGCCTACCTAGTGAGATAAGACTCAGCAGGTAGAATGTCATCAACTGCTGTGCCCTCCCTGCTTCCTGCTCCCTCCTCATCCACTCCCTCCTCTTCTGCTCCCCCACAGTTTCAGATGACTAGAAGCTCCTAGGATTTTAGATTCATTTCCTTTTACCCATTTGAGGGAGGAGATCCAGCATCCACCCTTGGTCCTCACACTCACACTCTGAATTTAATTTGAGGGAAGCATCTTCCTGCCTTAAAATATCTCCTCTAACCACAGAGAGAAAGTGAGATGTTGATGAAAGAGCAAGAACTTTGGAGTAAATAGGCTTGGATTTGAATCCTGGACCTGCCCTTTTACAAGCTCTGTGACCTTGGGCAGGCTACCCTTCCATCTTCAGATGCCCAGGCCCTGTATGCTGTGAAGATTAGATAAAAAAATGTATAACCTCCTTTCACTTAGGAAAAAGATCACATTAGCAATAGAATATCCCTCTACTTCCTATGAGATTTTTTAAAAATGAGGTGATGCCATCTAATAGTTTATTTTCTTTAAAAAGATGCAATGCATAATATTTATTCCTAGTCATAATTACTGTGAAACGCATGTTTACTATCATTATAATTACAGTTATTGCTGGTAAGTCCAGTGACTCAACTCAGAAGGTTCTGAATTCTCTCTAAAGTAGATATGGTTTAAAACTCTCTCCTGCTTAAAAGTATTCTGTGGCTTCCCATGATCTACCTAATACCAAGCCCAAACTTTAAAGTGTCACTCAGAGTTCTTAACACTCTGGTCCCAACCTGTTTTTGCAGTCTGGAGTCTCTAGTATATATAGTTTAAAAGTCTAAGATTTGGAATTTTACCTCAGCCACTTAACCTGTTTCCTTCTCTGTATTTGGAAAGTAATTTCTTCCTTATAGATTAAATAATAGTAGCTTATGGTAACTACTCATTATTGCAGTTACTAAGTGCTAGCTAGTGTATAAGAATTTGACAAACCTATTTAATCCTGACAAGAGCCCTATGAAATGTTTTTTGGGGAGGTGGGGGAGGCCGTGAAAAAACTGAAACAGAGAGGTTAAATTGTTATCAAATAAAAACAGACTTAAATGAAGGTCTAGTCACCATCACAGTCCATGGTGTCAACCATTGCGCTATAAAGCCTCCCTTGAGGATGTAAAAGGACTGTGTACACAGTAAGGCTGTGAACAATGGCTATTAATCACTGTCATCATCTCCTCCTTCCTTGGATCCAATGGTCTGATTACACAGAGCAATTTACCATTCCCAAAGGTACTTTTACAGCTCTATGCCTTTGCTCATTTGTTTTCTCTGCCTGAAGTGCTCTTATTTCCCTCTCAAAATTATACTCTTGCTCTAGCCGGTTTGGCTCAGTGAGTAGAGCGTCGGCCTGCGGACTGAAGGGTCCTGGGTTCGATTCTGGCCAAGGGCACATGCCTGGGTTGTGGTCTTGATCCCCAGTGTGGGGCGTGTGGAGGCAGCCAATCAATGATTCTTTCTCATCATTGATGTTTCTATCTCTCTCTCCCTCTCCTTCTCCCTTCCTCTCTGAAATGAATAAAAATATATTAAAAAAAGAACAAAGCTATTCGCTTAGAAAAAAAATTATACATTTTTCATGAGACCCCAGTAGGAGATCATCTATTCTGTGAAGTCTTTCTTAACACACTGGCATAATCCACATCTCCTCAACAGTGGGTGTTAAGACCTCTATCATTTCCCCTTGGCCCTTTCCACTTGGTAAATGTTCAATAGACAATTGTTGAACTCACTAATCTTAAATAATATATTGCAAATTCACTGAAACCAACCAAGGGAATATTCTTTCCAAAGAGTCTTCAAGTATGCCAGGCAAAATCTAAGGTGATTGTTGGGTGATGCTTAGGAGAAAAAGCAGTGTAATTCAAGGCACGTCCAATAGGTGGCATAATAAGCATGGACAAAGCAGCCAGGGACAAGCTCCTTTGAAAACGGAGGGATAATAATATTTGCACAAGGCTCATAAAGCTCTTTTACATACATTATTGACATGAATTTTTATCCCCATTTTATTTATTTATATTTTATATACTTTAATTGATTTTAGAGAGCGGGAAAGAGAGAGAAACATCGATGAGAAACACCAACATCCATCTGCTGCCTCCTGCACGTCCCCTGCTGGGGGTCAAACCAGCGATCTCTTGATGCATGGGTCGATGCTCAACCATTAGGCCACACCAACTGGGCATGATGGTGTATTCTTTTTTTTTTTTTTATTTAAATCTTTATTGTTCAGATTATTCCATTTGTTCTTTTTTCCCCCCATAACTCCCCTCCTCCCAGTTCCCGCCCCCCCTCCGCCCTCACTCCCCACCCACTGTCCTCATCCATAGGTGCACAATTTTTGTCCAATCTCTTCCCGCATCTTCCACACCCCATCCCCCCCAAGAATAGTTAGTCCATTCCCTTTCTATGTCCCTGATTCTATTATAATCACCAGTTCATTCTGTTCATCAGATTATTTATTCACTTGATTCTTAGATTCACTTGTTGATAGATGCATATTTGTTGTTCATAATTTGTATCTTTACCTTTTTCT